GCATTGTCAAAATTCTTAAAAAAGTTCTTATAGAATAGTTTGAATAATATCAAAAGACCGAATATATCATAAAAAGGTTGTTGCCTTAGGCCGTACGACTGAAGCGACTGTAGCTTTTTCTACCTGTTATCCTCTTAATGTACGGGTTATTCACAAGGCCTTCTATTTGTACTACTAGACGGACACTACGGTACTAATGCGCACTAAGTTACGGCTTCTAGTAGACTGGGAGAGGTAAAGAAGACCAATCAGTTGTATAAATAAAGGGGGTACGCCTGCTTAATGTATCCATCCCGCTTACTCTTTATCTGGAGAGCGAGCGGTACTGCCAATACATTGACACAATAGGAGAAGTATTTATACATATTAGCCTTAAAAGGAAAAGGGTTGAAAATTATTTTTTATTAGAAAATAAGTAATTGTGATTTTTGTGTTTTAAATATTGGTTGAAAATTGTAAATTTACGAAAATTCCGAGTTGCATATTTTGATATAGCAAAAACTAGTTTCAAAAAATAAAAAAATTCTGATGTCATAAATTTTCATAACCCACGACTATGACCACGTGGATCGATTGGTTTTTAAAAATATGTCCGTCCGTAAGAAATGAATACAGTTTATATTGTATTTATAATAAATTATAGGACATTATCTGGGTTTAATTTAATATTTTCTCTACATAGATATTAGGTAAATAAAATAACACTTTCATAACAAAATTTGTACATTAGATTTATTTACAGTGATAAATTATAACTGTAGGAACATTTACTCAAGACATTGAAAAAGTGGAAAGCTCTAAGATACAAACAAGTAAAAGGCACAAGTCTCTGCGTGGCATACCCATCGTGGCAGCCATTAGTGATCTAAAGCTGTTGATGACACAGTTTTAGAGCCGTTCTAGTAATATAAATACAAGTCTTTGGACAGTGACAATTCTTTACTGAATGGTAGAACTATTTTTCTGCCTAGAAGAGGGGCTTTTACCACCCTCCCAGTAGTTTAGCCGCAATGCAGCAGAGCTTCTTTTGTGTCTAGGCACTAGTGATTAGGTAAGAGTTTAAGAAAATCAATCGACTTTTTATGTCTCATGGATGTTGTAGAACATCAAAATACGAATCATTTATGTCAGAGCGCGCGCAGTCAGCATTTACACGCTGGCCCAAATTATTTAGCTTTAATATAGCAGAAGCTAATAAGACAGTTCACGATTTGTCACAATCACCAACCACGCCCCGTGTGCCCATACCATCATCCATTACCATATTAACGCTTTACCAATTAATTTGTTGGACTTACACCTAAAACTAAACTTTGCACTACATTATAACTGGATTTACATTTGAACTGCAAGCTTTTTATTTTTATCCTATCTTATACATAATTTGGTGTTGTGTAATATACTGCTACATTACATTACCTATATGTAAAATTTCATTAGATGGTGATTGAGGAGTTCGCAATTTTCTCGATAGGAAGGAATGCCTGTGAAAACCAGCGCATAATGAGATCTCAGTATCGTGTAAGTCAAAGCTGTTGTTTTCGATTATTCGCCAGGGTATGATGTATTAACGTGGCGTTATATAGATTTGAGATAGTCAAATACCGCTTATATTTGGAAATTTACTTCTAAAGGTTGCTAAGAATTCGCACGAATTCATATTAAATTATGTTTTATGAAATAAAATTTCAAATCTAAGGCATTTCCCCTGTCGTGTGTCTACATCAAAATTACACTCTTACATTTTGACTGCATCATACTGCATTTGTTTTTATTTTATTTTTACTAGTACCTTTGTCTAAAAGTGGACTGTTTATAGTTTGTGGGCCCTTAAAGTGAGGCATAAGCCTTGTGTTCTATAACTTAATATAAGTTAATATTACATAATGACTAGATAATCTAATAACATTAAAACTAAACGTATTTATACATAATATACACTGGTAATAACTTACGAAAACGACTACAAAATCTAAAACTAAGCATGCAAAATGATTGTTACACAACTTAAAAAAACTTAAGTTTAACACTTAATTTTCTGAATATCTTAAAAATAAACATTAAATATCTTCATTTATTTGCAAATATAGTTTTGTTTAACTATTTCCATGAAATAGTTCCATGTAAACATTAATTGAGTTTTCGATAGGATACATATTGTATTCCTTTTCCTTAGTAAACATATTGGAGTGTATGTACCCAGGAATTATGCGACTTAATTTCTTCCTCTTTCTTCTATCATTGCACAACTTGATGCTGTATACTTATCATTTATTTTGTTAATTTGTTGACATAATAATATCACGTTTTGATTCACTGTTTGTATTGAGTTTAAGAGAGGAAAGAGCCAGCCGTTAAAGTCAAATAGACTTTTATTAAACTAATCCTACACTAGCTTTACAGAAAGTAAAATAGTTTTAAACAAATTCATTAATGTGTGTATAAATTAATTTCTTCACTGTAGTATTTAGTTAAAAAAAAGTATTTTATTAAATAATTAGCGATCTACCCAGGCTTCGCAATGGTGACTTCCGAATCTCGACAACAGCGCTATCTACCCGGTCCAATAGTGAATCTAAACGATCTCACTCACACACAAAAAAATCGTCAAAATCCGTCCAGCCGTTTAGGAGTTCAGTGACAAATTTAAGAAGAATTATACACATAAAGACTATACTTCAGCCATCTGGGAATCTTCGTAAATTAATAAAAAATTGTGGCGGCACTGTCGTCGCGCTACAAGCAGAAAGCATGTAGCTCGTTAAGTCGTTAAATCGTGCTATCAAAATTCCGAAGATACCGCGCTATACATGAAACAGTTACGAACGATCACATGGAGCGTTGGCTGCCCCCGGACAGAACACCTTGCCCGGCGGGAGATGTCCCTTTTTACATTTGCGGCCAAAAACTAAAGTATGGATCGCAATTCACGAAGATCCTTCGTCAGACACGCACACTGACTGCGACACACTTATCGCAGTGTGCGTGTCTGACGGAGCGAAGTTGCGAGCATGATGTCGCTAATCAACCCGCTTTTGGTCTCGCACACTTTGTAGTATAAGGTATACGTAGACGTGTTTACCACAAGTATAACCTCATGACATTTGTGTGGTAATTCAGCACTTAAAATTGCAACTAAATTGGGAATTTGAGTTGTTCGTGCACTGTGAAATCTACAGCCAGTGCTACCATGGCTTTTTAAACTTATTTACTGGATGACCTTTTTACCGCCTGGAAAAAATAGGGTGTGACAGGTAAACGGAGTAGAAGCCTGATATTTTACAAAAAGTTAAAACAAAAATTTTGAATTAAATATATAAATCAATTAAAATCTATCGAAACTCAAATCATACCCACCCTAGTTTTACGAGCGGCAATAAAACAATAAATTCTTTGTCAATATCCTTTCGCAGGGTCACAGGCTCAAGGGCAAAGCCGCCCCGCGCCCTCAACTTTCATTTCATTTACCCGTAGTTGGCTGTGGCGTGACGTCGCATCGCCGTCGTATTGTTTGCGCGTGTGTGATAATTTAGACGGTGCGGCGAATCGATATTTACCCGTGTTGGAATTTATGGATTGAAGGTCGATTGACGGGAGTAACGTATCTGCGAATAATACGTTTCGTCATAGACACAATGTTGCAAAACGTTCCTCTGAACCATCTGCAAGGAGTGTACTTCCAACATGATGGATGTCCAGCTCATTACGAATGATCTCTGCGCGCATATCTGGGCAGCCAATTCGGTTATAGGTGGATTGGTCACGATTGACCTGTGAACTGGCCGACGAGATCACCAGACCTCTAGACTTTTTGTGGGCAAAACTAAAACGATTAGTGTTCACAGAAGAAGCACAAAGTGTTAGTAATTTAAAGCAGCATATAATAGATGCAATGTGATAAAAAGTAATAGAGACACGTTTGGAAGTTTAACAAACAGAATGCAAAGACGTGCTAGTTTGTGTTTAGAAGGAAACGGCAGAGATTAAGAACAATTACTACGATATTGCTAAAAAATTATTTTTTTTATTTGTAACAATAATGTAGTACAATTTTGTAAATATCAATCAGTGTAGTTTGTAATAAGTATTATAAGTTGATTTCGACACACGGCAAAATTATTAATGAAAGAGTGGCAAAGAAGTGCTGCTTTTTTTAAATGGCTTTCTTTTATCGACCAAGTATTTTACTAAAAACCAGCATATTCTGATTTGGATTAGTAGGCAGTAACTAGTACTGGGAGGTCTATTTACACTGAAAGTTTTAAGGCAAATGCCGTAAGATGAATTATTTTTATGTATTTTTTTGGATATTCGGAAATTTTACCTATCTAGTTATATTTTGTTATATTTCACAAATACTTTCGAGGATAACTTCTATTCTACTTACACAAAACACCATATTATTTTCCAGACGGTAATAATAGTCATCCAGCATAATGGTAATGTCCTCCTGACCGAATTTCGGTCATGGCAGCAAGCCTCAACGGAGCCATCTGCGCAGGACAGGATTATAGTGTATGAGTGTATGCGCAACCACTCTTTATTCCCTCATTCTCATAGTCCGCTGGGACGATAAACAGACACGACCGGCGAGAGTTCAGGCGCAGGATAAACAGCTTCACGTGCTTCTGAGGCACGGGGCTGAATGACCGAGAATTTCGTGACAGAAAAACTCAGTAAATTATAATTTTTTTATTGGGATTCGAATCCGGGGCTTCACTCTCCGCAGTTCCGTTTACGACTATTAGAAAAACGAGGACTTAATTTATATATAATATTGGTATTAAATACGACAGGTTTTAAATTACCTATTATGTAAGATATTCGTGAATACAAGAATAATTAAATTAATACATAATAAGCTATAATTTTCAATCCATTTAGTGGAGCAAGCCTATGGACACAAGGCAAGATGTTGCATTTGCAACATCTGTAAAGGCATGATAAATGCAATAAATACTTGGTCAAAGTTAAAACTTCGTCAGCAATAACGGTACGATTCAAGCACTGCTATGATCAGTTATAGCGGTTAAAACTTTATTAACACAAGACCTCAAATCTTCACTGAAATCCTTTCTGGTGTCTACAAACTTCTGCAACGCGTCTTGGACCTTAGTCTCTTTATAATCCGAAGCCAGCTGATTGTTCTTACATGTTATTTCAAGGAAAGCTATCAAGTTCTCAGCGACCTCTACAGGCATTTTAGCGCAATTTGTCTCAATCAAAACGGACAAGTGCTTACCGATTTCCGACTTTATCATCTGCGTAACAAAGCTCTGTTCGCAGTCAAAATCTGATTCTTCTTTCTTGTGGAGTGATTCAATCGCCATTAGAGTCAGGGCGAGTATAGCTTCATTCTGCATGACAGAGTGGGACGATACCAGCATACCAACTAAGCTAGATACGCAACCCTCCACCTGGAATTAAGATGAAAAGATATCAATAATACGATTTTGATGGACATAGTTTTTTATATTTCGCTATATGGTGACGGCATTAGAGGATTTTTATAACAATATTTAGTTGCCCAACTGAAGGCTACTTCGGATAAAATTAAAATCAAATTTGACTACAGTAATACTATCATGACTTTACATCAGAGATTGCAGAATTACAGCAACAATTAAAAGAATCCCAGACAGAAATAATGAAACTCATGAAACAAACCCAGGCCAGAGAAGGAGAGCTTCTCTCAACAAAATCTAAAGCCTTAACAACACCTAATTTTAATGATAAAATGTATTCCAAGGATACCAAAAGCAAGCTTGTGATAACAGGATATTGATCTTTGGAACTCAACAATGTGTTGGTTCAGCCGCCGCATTGATACGGTCACGAGAACGTACAACATACGAAAAATATTTGGTTACCTCGCAAACGAAACCGTAAGCTCTAACTGCAGATGTTTTAAAAAATTGTCATAACTTAGAATTAACATCAAATGAAAAAATTGTAATATGTATCTGTAAAGATGATTATGATATTAATATATTAACATCTCAATTGCGTAGTTTGCTCAATAAAAGTAACAATTCTGTGAAAGTTATTAACCCATTAAAAATATGTATTTGAATGTTCATGAATTGAATAATGCGTTGAAAATTACTTGCAATGCTTATAAAAACTGTTATTTTGTAGAATGTATTAATAGCAATTTGTTTAAAATGTGTAAATCAATCAATTATATCATCGACTGTATTGACTACGATAATAAATATTTAAATATTAAGGAACTTCAAAAGATAATAATTCGCAATAAACCACAGACTCAGGAAGCAACTAAATTTAATATAAAACACCTGAAAAGCACAATCTCCTATTACTTCGCAAAAATGCAGTTACAAAGTGCTTCCATCAGTGGAACTAATGCCATAAAATCCACTTTCGATTAGAAAAAAGGTACCATACCCTATTACTTCCCCATAATAGATGGAAATCAATTTTTTCGGGAACAAAAAGCAAAAGCCATCTCTTTCTCTCAAAATCATGCACCAAAACATTGCTATTAATTTATCAAAACAAGAACTATTAGAATTAACATTCCATGAGTTACGTGAGGCCGAGAACGAACCCAATATACTATGTTTCTCTGAAATGTTTTTGCGAGATGGTTACGATAAATACTTACAAATAAAAGGTTACGAATTAGCAACTGCATTTTGTAGAGAGAAACAAAGAGGCGGAACTTGTATTTGGTACAGCGCAATATAACATACAAAAAATTAATAAATTACAATATTATGCAACACCAAATACATTTGAAGCTTGTGGAATTAAAATTCCTGTACACAGATTGATTATAATATGTATTTATAGAACTCCCTCGTCAAACCCTACTATTCTTAGATAAGCTGGATAAACTTTTATATGACTTACTTGGCAGTCATAAGCCAAACATTAAGCTAGTTGTAACTGGTGACTTTAATATTAATACTTTAAAACAGGGAAATATTACTATTTTTTTTTCAAGATCTATGTCACAACTACGATATAAGCATTCATATCAAGGTACCGACCCGGAAAAACTCTTGTATAGACCATATTTTAAGCAATATCACAGACGCAACGGCTACCATTCTACCTCTATACCTATCTGACCATGAAACAGCGCAACTACTGGAAATCCCATAAAAAAGAAAAACTTTAAAGACTACGGCATATTTATTTACAAAAAAGACTATTGCGCTGAGAACATACGGAAATTTAGGGAATGTCTTATGAATATATCTTGGTCTGATATATACTTACAGACTGATATAAATAACGCGTTTAATACATTTCTTGAATTTCTATGTTTAATTTATAATTTATGTTTTCCACTTATTAAAATAATGATAAATAATAATAATACTACAAACAATTGAATAAGTCGAGGTTTAAAAAGAAGTTGTAAAACTAAAAGATTACTCCGTTATAGATACCACAGGAATAAACCAGAATTAAATAAGAAAAGTTACATCACATATTCAAAGATTTTGAAAAAATGTATTCAAAGATCGAAAAGAAATTTTACTATAAAATTCATACACAAAAGCAAAAATAAATGTAAAGCTACATGGTCTGCAATAAAAAATGCAATCTCAAATTCAAACTTCGACCATGGCGTTACGGATTTGAAAATAAATAATGAACTGATTAAAAATCCTACTGACATAGCTTCGATTTTCAATAATTATTTTACTAATTTCCCTAATAATTTGACAATTAATGAATAAACCAAACAGCTATACCAGTAATGAAAAATCACTATCTAACTCAATGTTTGTTAAGCCCATGACAGAAGAAGAGGTTAAAAAAGAAATCCTATCTCTTAATAACACTAACTCGGAAGGATATGACGGTATTAATACGAAAATAATTAAGAAGTCTGTAAATGAATTAGTCTCTATTTTGACATATTTAATTAACTTGTCATTTTCATGTGGTACTTTTCCAGAAACATTAAAATTGTCGATTGTAAAGCCATTATTTAAAAAGGGTAAGAGAAATGATATTACCAATTATCGTCCAATTACATTAATACCAATATTGTCAAAAATAAGAAAAATGTATGTACAAAAGATTACTAGATTTTTGCAAGAAATTCAATTTAATAAAGAATGATCAATATGGCTTTCAGAAACATTTAAGCTCATTAGTTCAATTTTAACAAAAATAAATAACAATTTTTTAACCACAGCATTGTTTCTTGATTTATCGAAAGCCTTCGATATCGTTGCGCACAGCATACTATTGCGAAAACTGGAAATGGTCGGTATCAGAGGACTTCCAGTAAAATGGATATCTTCCTATTTAGCTAACCGTAGACAATGTGTCGTAATAAAAATACAATCTTTTTTATTAGAGACATTTATAGAGGAAATGCTGTCCTTCTCATCTCCTTATAAAGAGAACAAACATGGCATTCCTCAAGGTAGCGTGCTGGGTCCAATATTGTTTCTTCTTTATTTAAATGATAAAGCTCTAATCACCAGTCATAAATGTATTTTATTCGCGGACGATATTTAAATAATTGTAAGCACTAATAAGAATCAAAATAATTCAATACGTAACCATGAAACCGACATTAACAACTCAATTGATACAATTATTAAATGGTTAGACAGAAACAATTTAAAAATTAATCTTAATAAATCAACTTATATTCAATTTAATAAATCAAAACACACAAAATACAATTTTAATCTTAATATCGACAAATTAAACGAAAGTAACACAAACTGAATTCCTAGGAGTAATAATCGATCAAGATTTAAGTTGGAGAGGTCACATACATCACCTATGCAGTATAATTAACCAATTTATTTATGCACTTAATAAAGTAAAAAATATTACAGACAAAAAATTGCTGTTCTAACGTACCACGCTTACATAGAATCTTTACTACGTTATGGTGTTGTAATATGGGGCAGTGGTACAGATAAACAGAGATTATTTACTGCACAAAAGAAATGCATTAGAGCTATTGCTGGAATCGCACCGGATAAATCCTGCAAACCAATATTTAGGAGCCTAGGTTTGTTGCCACTACCATCTCTGTATATCTACGAAGTTTGTAATTTCGTACATAAACATAATAAACTGTTTACAAAGGCATATGATATGAATATAAGATTAAAAAGAAATGCAAATAGACTTGTATTAGATGACGTATCGCGATCAAACAAATATAGTAAAAGCTGTTTAACCATGTGTATTCGAATCTATAATAAAATACCAAATGAAATCAAATCGAATCATAATAATTTATTTAAAAAAAATTATTGACCTCTCAATGAAAATCAATTTTATGACATCAGAGACCTATTTGTTAAATTATATATATATATATATATATATATATATATATATATATATATATATATATATATATATATATATATATATATATATATATATTGATGAACTGATAATCGTTTATTTATGATTTTATATGTTTTAGTCTAATTGTTTTGTATTATGATTAGAAAATTTCATTTGCATATGTGCTATTTATGTAAATTTGCATGCTATCACAATGACATAGCAAACACGTTGTGCTTTAAGAATTGTACCATCCTTATATGTCCATGTTTTATGCAAATATATGAAAATAAATGAATAAGGAAATTGTAACTCTATGAATACGTAGCTACTGTATAATGACATAGTAGCTATCATTTTTAAAATTTGAAAGTAATAATTGCAATTTATTATTGTTGTTGCCATGTGTTCAAATATAAACTAAATTTATATTTCTACATTTTTATTTGGTAAGATTAAAAACAAAGGCCTTTCCCAAGGCGGAGTAGGTTTTCAAAATTGTAGAAATCTCCAGTGTGTCGACACAGGTAGCATACCTTGTACTTAAGTTATCAAAGAGATACTGTCTGAAGATCGTACAAGTTTATGCTCCGACCTCGACATATTCAAATGATGAAGTTGAAACTGTTTATGAAGACATTTCTAGGGCCTTACTTAACACCACTAATGCACACTACAATGTTGCTATGGAGGAGTTTTATGCCAAAGTGGGTAAGCACACGGGCGTCGAATCGATTTTGGGACTCCACAATTTTGGAAGCAAAAATCACAGGAGGTAAATGCTGATCAACTTCCTCGAGAAAGAGGGGCTATTACTGATGAATTCGTTTTTCGAGAAGTAGCCACAAAGGGAGTGGACCTGGCGCAGTCCCGATAACACTACAAAAAATGAGATTGACTTTATCATGACAGATACAAGGCACATATTCAGAGATGTCTCAGTGATCAACAAATTCAATACCGGAAGCGACCACCGACTTGTTCGAGGCACTCTGAATATCGATTTTACGATTGGAAGGCCCCGATTGATTAAGTCTACGATTCGACCAAATCTGTTTCAAACCGTAACTGGCTCCCAAAGCTTCCAGCTAGAACCTAAAAACCAATTAGATGGCCTGAGACCCACTTTGGATATTGACGAGGACCTTATTAGCATGATCTAGATCTTAAGGGATGAGGGCAACAGGTTTTGTGGCGAACAACATATGGGTCGAAAGTTGAAGTTCTCATATGAGACACTTCAGCTTATGAAAAGAAGGCGTGAGTTAACAACAGAATCACCATCGAAATTGGTGACACTAACCAGGCGTGTGAGGAAAGTTGTGAGGCGGGACCTGCGTCTGGAAAAGATGAAGTTACAATAGAACTCTTATAGGCTGGGAGTCAACCCTGGCTAAAAGAGCTCTGTCGAGTTTTTAACTGCATCTTACGAGATGGGAGAACTCCAAAGGCGTGGAGCAGAAGCATTACAGTCTTGTTTCATAAGAAAGGTGACAAGACTATGCTGAAAAATTATCGACCCATCTCGCTTCTGAGCCACGTCTATAAGTTGTTTTCGAGGGTCTTCACAAATCAACTCGCGCGAAGACTCGAAGACTTTTAGCCTGCGGAACACGCTGGGTTTCGAGGAAAATTTGGCATTATAGCCACATTCACATAGTGCGGCAAATAATACAGAATACAACAGAATATAATCAGCCCCTGTGTCTTGCATTTGTGGACTATGAGAAAGCCTTTGATTCCATTGAAACTTAGGCTATTCTGGATTTTTTGCAGCGGTGCCAAATTGACTGGCGGTACATCGAAGTGGTGAGATGTCTTTACGATGTCCGTCCAAGTACAGGACAGTCAAACAAAACCAATCCAGTTGCATCGCGGAGTGAGACATGGGGATGTTATAACCCCTAAACTGTTTACAAATGCACTGGAAGATGTTTTTAAGGCGCTAGACTGGAAAGTACGCGGCATTAACGTAAACGGTGAGTACATCTCACACTTACGCTTTGCTGATGATATCGTCGTCGTGGCAGAATCGCTGCAGGAACTTCAGGACATGCTGAACAAACTAAATGAATCCTTCCAACGTGTTGGTCTGTGCATGAATCTGAACAAGACAAAAGCTATGTTCAACGATCACGTCATGCCAGTTCCAATTACTATTGATGGTGAAATTCTCGAAGTTGTCCGGGAATATACCTACCTCGGGCAGATATTGCAACTAGGTAAGAACAACTTCGAGAAAGAAGCCGATCGGAGCATTCAGTTAGGCTGGACAGCATTTAGAAAGCTCCGTCAGGTTTTCTCGACGTCCATACCGCAAAGTCTGAAGACAAAAGTTAGCCTTCCGTGTTTGTAAGCTGAAGTGGCCAAACGTAGTGTGGGATGCTCCCTGACCAGATGGAGCCTGAGGCGACTGGCGCAGCGCGCACGCGAGCAGGTGTAACGCCCCCGCCCGCCCTCACGCACCTGCAGCATGTGCATACGCTCGGCGGCGGGCAGCTGGCACAGCGCGCACGCGAGCAAGCGCGGCGCCTCGCCCCTGCGCATTCTCTCCCCCGGCATCGCCCTGCGCATTCTCTCCCCCGCACGCAACTGCAACAGGCGCACACGCTCGGCGACGGGCAGCTGGGGCAGTACGCGCGCGAGCAGACGCGGCGTCTCGCCCCCGCCCGCCCTCATGCACCTGCAGCATGTGCATAAGCTCGGCGGCGGGCAGTTGGCACAGCGCGCACGCTAGCAAGCGCGGCGCCTCGCCCCTGCGCATTCTCTCCCCCGCACGCACCTGCAGCAGGCGCACACGCTCGGCGACGGGCAGCTGGCACAGCGTGCGCGCGAGCAAGCACGGCGCCTTGCCCCCACGCCCCCTCTCCCCCGCACGCACCTGCAGCAGGCGCACACGCCCGGCGGCAGGCAGCTGGCGAAGCGCGCGCGCGAGCAGGCGCGGCGCCTCGCCCCCCGCGCCCGCATGCCCGGCGCGCGCCCACCGCCCGACCGCACCCAGCGCCGCAGCGTCCGTTATCAGCTGTCGAGCCACGCCCTCTGCCCACCATAAACTACTTAACACAACATACAAACTAACAACCGCCACTTACGAATTTGTAATTTTTCGTAATTGCAAAACATCCTTAACTTTAACATCTCAAAAGCAAACTGAAAATATGATATACTATATGTACCTTCAATTTTTTTTTATTAATAGAATAAGAATGACAAACGAGCACACAGTCCACTTGAAAAAATCCTGTCGCCCATAGACATCTACATCTATACCCGATTAAAAATCGAAATGCAGATGTGTTGTGACCCCTGAAGACTAAGATGGAACGCTTCATTTTCAGTAAAAAGGCTTTTTACTTAAACACTTACATAGTTCTCCACACTCACCATACGAAACACAACAGCTTTAAGCTTTTTTATATATGAGAGGGGGCAAACGAGCATGAGGCTCACCTGATGGTGACTACCACCGTCCATGCCAACTGCCTTTTTAGGTTGGTATTCTATAAGAACATGGTCATTACACAGTCGAGCCGACCGTTTGTGCTATAACATAGCTTTAGAATAACTAAAACGACCACATAATTATAAATAAAGATCTGGCGAAAGTCACCGGTAAAAGAGACCACTGCAACTTAAGAGGTAAGGAAGCAATTAACTATATGATAAGCTCATACAGAACTCCACTTGCTTCAAATGCTTTTGAATGGGCTTAATGAAATGACTTTGACCAGCAAATCACCCACCATGTTATTATACTTAATTGGTCTAGATATTGTTTATTTATATCTTTCACAAGTTCTATTAAATCTATAACATGATCTCTGTACAAATGTATAGGTTGCGGATTCAAATCTGGCTCGCACAAACCAAAAAGATAAATTGTTTGTATAAATCAACATATATTCCCATGGATATCATAAGAGGCGTCAGATGAAAACAAACATGGAGATGGTCAGCAATATCTTTCTGATAACAACTAATTTAAAAAAAACTGAGTTTGCCAACCCGCTTACATACATAGCAACTTTAGCAACATACCCCATGAATCCTTAAGGAAGACATATGTTCAGCAGTGGACTTGTGAAGGGCTGTAATGATTTGAAGATGCTGTAGGCATACATACGCGGCGCGCAACGCTACGTTATAACGTGATGTCATAATGTAGCGTTTAACTTTAAACTATGTATTTGAAACATTACAAATTGGGATATTATGTTCTGTTTAAAACCTATAGAACACCACCTCGTCTTCTTTTATCCAAACATAACAGTTACAAGAAACTGCGGATACCCGGCATGTACTATTACACTAAAAATAGAAATACATTTTGTTTCTTTGTTGTCTAAAAAGGAATTTTTTAATGTTTTTTTAGTGCCGAATGCATTGTTTTAGTGGTCTAAAACAATATTCCTACTATTGCCTTTCTAATGAAACTGGTTTGGAGCACATCGGTTGGATGGTATCAAAGTCTATAACCGACATACATAGAAACATTTTTTGTGTTTATATAGATAGATAAATGTTTTTAAATTCGGAGAAACCTATATTTCAAACTGCATAGAAATCAATTTAGCCGTCAATGTGCAATTAAGCAAAAAGTTAATTAGTCCCCAAGGTGCTCCTCGGAATTGGAAAGCGAATTTAGTTGGCACATGACCGGCCCTACAGGTAAATTAAATATAATATATATCAGTACAATATTTTGCAATATGTATAACTGTACTGACCTTGGCCGTCCACCAGCATTCGTAACGCAGCAAGCAATTTGTAAGCCACCTGATGATCCTCAATATTAGGCAACGCTTTTAATAACATTGGTGTGGCTCGACCTTTAGCCGCTGCAACTCTCTTGTTCACAACTGGCACTGTCAAGTTGCGTATAGCTGACAGAGCTGCGTGTTGAATTTTGTTTACAGTAACTATATCAATAGGATGCACTGTATTTTGCTCCTTTTGAATGCGCAGGCAGAAGCCATGGTATACTTCAAAAATATCTAAAAGAAAGAATGCCAAAAGACTTAAGTACTAAGACTTAAGTTTTATATTTTGAGGTCATGTTTATTACAATGAGAAAAACATAAAACCATGTGTCAACATTTTCACATTCTTTTCTCTACACTCACCCATACGATACCCAGCAGCATTAACTCCTCAATCCCCTTAAAATTCCCATGCAGTCGCATGCATCAAATCCCGAGCGGTCATGCGAGCATGCGACCGCACCCACCCACAGCTCTTTAAACCATTAAAACTTATATTTAGAGACTACTTTTCTATGAACAAGTTTGGCATTATAAAATCTATATAAAAGTCAGGTTTTACTTCATTACAAAAAAACTATTGTATTTTGATAATAAAAACAAAACATACCAAGCGAATGTCGGCAGCGTGAAAATCATAATTGTTTCAATATATATTACTCGAAATTATTTAAGTAAAAAGATAAATTATATTCATACAAAAACTTTCATTACAATTTTATAATAAAACACTATACTAAAACACTAGAAAAATCCAAAAATCAACACAATAACATTCACGCGAAAATGGCGTACGAAATGAACGTAGATTATAAATAAATATCCATAGGATAACTATTTTTTATTGCACTAGAATATAGAAAATTTCATATTAATTCTATAATACCAAACTTCTTCATAGAAAAGTAGTCTCTAAATATAAATTTAATGGTTTAAAGTGTGGGTGTGCGCGGTCGAATCCGACCGCTTGAATTTTGACGGAATAGCGCCGCGGTCGAATTCGACCGCTTAGAGATTGAAGGGTTAAGCTACTATTTTACGCTGGTATTATGTCGATGTCGGTGTCGAGTCGACCCATTCAAACTACAACCATATATAGCTGCATATATAAAATCGTAGTGTAATATCGGTATATCATTTTAAGATAATACACAATAGAATGGCTGTCAACCTTATTTTGTACGAGGATAGGCATCGCCGGGAGCACACATACAAGCAATTACGTCGTATTATCAGTAAATTACTACTACAAACCTGATTCACTGTGTTGACCGATGGATTTTAATACATATTTATTTGTAAATAGCGTGAAATTTGGCATTTTCTAAATAATTTGCTTGCGAAATCTGGAAACGATTGTAACGTCAAAACACATTTCGTGTTGACATTTATACATGGAAATTAACGTGTTAGTGGCATTTTAGTGGCTACACAGGCTCCGCCCGCTCCCCCGTTCGTCCCCCTCTCTTCTCCCCCATGCTTGTCACGGTGTGTGTCCGCGATGGACTCCTAAACTACTTAACCAATTTCGATCAAATTTGTTGCACATTGGTCCAACTTGAGAGATAGGATATTTTTTAGATATTTTTTTTTTGCGAATTTAAGGATTTTTAATATGACATGGCAAAGGGTTGTCGAAAAGGGCAGAACAACGCCTGCCTGGTAAGCTAGTTATTTATATATTATTTAAAGTTTAAAATTTAGCTACTCCTTAAAAATAACCCAGTAGAAATTAATTTAAATTTACTTACCAAGCAATTTATCAAATATCTTATCCTCCATCATATGGATACAATATTCATCCTTCCGAGCAAAGTTGCCAATTGCCAAAACAGCAGTAGTCAGCAGGTTGTAGTTAGTATAGTCCAGCCACTTCACCATAGTGAGGTAGACTTCACCAACACCATTGTTGTATAATGTGTCCATTGCTTCATCTAAAACATTTTTATACTATATGTAAAAAAGCTTGCAGGTAAAGTGATATGATTCTGTTCATGTATGTTCATATGTTCCTGTTCAGAGAATTAATAAAAAAATCACCCAACAAAAACTAAAATAAAATGTGAAACTTTGATAGCAAAACATACACCATAGGTAGTTGTTTATTAACAATATCATCAAAAGGTCAAATATACCGTCACTAACTATGGTGTTGCACAGTCAATTTGCTGAATTTTAAGCAAATTGTAAGGAAGACATATAAACAACATATTTAAGTAACAATAACAAAAAAATATATGCATAAAATGATGAGTACAAAAATTTATTACTTTTTGATATTGTCATTGTGGTACCTCCACATCAGTTAGGGTGTTCTATTACTATGTAAAATATTATACGTCTAAGTACACACACATATTCAAACTACAAAACAAATTGTTTTTATGAGTTTTTACAAAGCAGACAATCGTTTTTGGGCCCACTAGAAATTTTAAAACTTAATGGTATTACACTTAAAAAAGATAATAAATTATTATAGTAAATTGCCTAAAGATTTTTTGAAAATGTAACTGGAATCATGATATCTGAAAAAAAAGAAGAATTATTTAAACATTCACGTTCTAGCTAATGTAATATGAAAAAAAATGTGTGTAACAAAGCATTTTTACAATTTGTATAATAAAAAGATAAATATTTTTGAAAACAATCACTTATAATATGCATATATTATTTATTATTGTATATTCTAGATTACTAAAAATAAATACCACTAAAAACTTGTTTTTAATCTTATTTATTAAAGCTAATATCATATATGGTTCAAAAAGACCGTGTAATTAAATGTATTAGTACTCTTATTTTTTCATTGACTTCAGTATTTATTTGCTCAACATCTTCATCATATAGTATGTATAGGTAATATTTCAAATGGACATATTATTCCTCAGTCATTTTGGCTTTAATCGTATTTTAGTGTATATTAATTAGTGTAATGGTGTTTGGGATTAAAGGTCACAGCTCATTAGACCCACCCGGCACCCGACCCTCACCGCCTCGCCTTGAGCGGTTCGTGTTCTTCGTATGGACTTGTATGGATCTGCGCTCACTATATCAACTCCGTACCATCACCGGATCGCCTCGCTCGCGAAGTGTCCACGCGCGCACTGCGAGTGGACCATTCGATGATAGCTCGCTGTTGGCATGCTTGCCTCGCGTGAAGCGCGCGAGCTGGCAACGCGCAGTTCATGCGAGTGTGATGCGGCGCTCTCCACCACACCAACCCTTTATTTCGAGTCTTCCTTTCGAATGTATCGGACGCATTGTTGTTTGTTTTTAAAATGAACAAAGAAAAACTTATAGAAGTTCGGAAGTATAATTTATTGTATGATTTAAGGGTCACTCGTTGATCACGCGAGGTCCACTCGTTGACGACGCGAGGTCCACTCGATGACCACGCGAGGTTCACTGGTGACAACGCGGCGTCCACCCGTGGTCCACCTGTCGACTACGAGTGGACGCCTGGCGACGAGGCGGTGAGGGTCGGGTGCTGGGTGGGTCTAATGAGCTGTGACCCTAATACTCACTAATCCATCAATACATATAAAAATACTTTCAACACCACACTTGTTTGTCTGTGCACTATGTTTTCCCGGAACTACTAATTGGATTTTCCATCAATCTTAAAGTACTTATAAATATTGAACAGTGCACTATTTTAACTTATAATACAGGTGAAAACTATTAGACAATCGCTTTTAGTTTGTTTTAAGGTTATTGTGATATTCATATTTTAATTAATAATTTCTCAGTATTCCCGTTAGAATCGGTAAAACTAATATATAGACTAAAGGACCTATAGACTATAAGGAATAAATCGACATGCATTTAAATAAGTTACGCCACAATTCGTTGTGGGCCCATTCCCCAAACAAAAAGAAATTGTCTCCTTTATTATAACAAATGTTAAAGTTGCAAATTGATTATTATTGAGTGGCAGTAATACCTCCAGTGAGCACTATAATGATAAGATCACAAGCCTGTTTCATCACAGCCTCCACCTCACTATCCTCAGCATTTAAATCTCCAGCCTCATGTTTCTGCATCAGCTGCTCCAAGCGAGAACATACCAGTTGAACGCCATTTTCATTTGCTAGTAATGTTTTTACCAAATCTGTAAAATCGAAACATATTTAAAAATGATAGACATAAAGGAGCCATTGCAGCTCAGGGGCTAAGCGCTCACTGTAAATTTCACAGTAAGCGAGCAACCCAGGTTCGATCCCCGCCAGCACCAGTGAAACTGTTCATTGCAATTTTAAGTGCTAGTTTACCACATGCTCGGTGGAAAGAAAACGTCATAAGGAAACTGAAAAGGAAATGTCTGAAAAATAAGAAAAAATATTTTAAGACATGTGAAGTTCGCCAACACGCATTGGGGCAGCGCTGCAGATATTTCCTTGCCCCAAAATCCTCTCAATAATAAGAGGAGGAGAGTGTCAAGCAGTGGCTGTATATAGGCTGTAACTTAATGAAATAAGTAAAGGATTGAAATTTAAATCAACTTAAACTTCTACCCACTTATTCCAATTTAGTTGAGTAAGTTACAAATGCAAAATCTTAATATATATAAATTACGTGTCTCGTTATTTGTTCGTGATGGGCTCCTAAACTACTTAACCGATTTTAATAAAATTTTTCACACCGTGTGCAGTTTGGTCCCACTTGAGTGATAGGATAGTTTTTTGAGTATGCTATAAACGTCCAGTACTCGCGTACGGTGTTGGGAGGGGGGGGGGGGGGGGGGAATGGGAAGCACTCCAACCCTCCTCTTATTGCGGAAATGTATAGTTTATGAGTAATAATTTTTTTTTGTAAAATTATAACCTCACTTTTTATACAGGAATATTGACACAAAGTTATTTCTGCAACTGCCATACGGTGTTGGGAGGGGGAAAGGTGTCATGGGAAGGCCCTCCTACCCTTACCCCGTTGCGGGGATGTATAGTTTATGAGTAATAATTTTTTTTTGTATAATCATAACCTCACTTTTTATATAGGAATATTGACGCAAAGTTACTTCTGCAACGGCTTTGGCACTGCGGGAAGTGCAGCCCCTTCGGCCTTGCGTAGCAAATCGCAGGCACCCATGCTCACCTCCGCAGCTTTGGCTTATTGGTCACCTTCGGTGACCAGCCTCAGCCGTTACGGCTCACTTCGGTGCCTGCGATTTGCTACAGCGGGCGGGGGCTGCTCTCCCTCCGTGCCTACGGCTTTACAAAAAAAAAAAAAACACTCTAGGGATAGGGCAGACAAGACTACGTGGAGTCGGGGTGTGCTAATTCAGTTTTAGAACTGATTCAACCAATCTTATCTAAAAAGTCTGGTTGCCCTAAATGCTATGATAGCAAGTAGATGATTGCCCTATACTCCGCTATGATAGTAGGTAAATGAAATAATGTAATGTGAATTGTTATAATTTTGTTTTCTGATAAACCTCTTGACTGCTCTCCACTGCAACTCAATTTGTATGTATATAAGTTCCATCTCCAGCAACAAATGGATTGTCTGGGTCTGAGTCATTAACTTTTTTATGAGCGTATCTGTGTCAAAAAAACAAATTGACATATTTGCGTTTTTTGACATAGGTATTTAAATTTTTGGTGAAATTTATTTTTATCTTATAAAAAGACATTCGAAATCCAAAAAGTTTTCCGAAAATCCTCCTAAATTGAAAACAAAATTAAAAAATCAATTACTGGACATCTACTTCATAATACGAGAACAAATTGACATATCTGCGTTTTGTTATTACACAATTTTTAGTGAAATTTGTTTTTATCGTAATTAATTCAAAACGCATTTCCGACATCTAAAAACAGTGTAATAGGTTCAAGCCTATATATTATATTATATATATTAACCCTAACAAGCCTCCTCAAGCCTAGACTAAAAACATTATTAAATTTTTTTTGGCGATTTTTAGGATTTTTAATAGGACATGACAAAGGGTCGTCGAAAAGGGCAGAACAACGTCCGCCTGGCAAGCTAGTATTTATATATATATATATATATATATATATATATATATATATATATATATATATAGCTATGTTACTAAATGAGTGATTTTGCCGACAGTGGGAACTGTCCACTGATCAAAAATATGATCTCCAGGACTATATCCTGCTTAATAATTAAATATTAAAATAAAAAATATAAAATGTATAAATTTTATTACTAACATAGATGTAAGTTTTTCTGTACTAACAATTCCTATGGATTTAAAGTTGTTTAAAGTCTGAAATAAACAATTTTTATTTTATTTTTTTATTTATTTATTTAAATATCTTGATGTGTCAAGTGTAGTAAGATAGCAATCTGAATAATCAGAATTGTTGAATAAGTGTTTGTTTTTATAATAATATATTTATTTGCTTAAAATATGGTATCAAAAAGATTTTACAAATATTATACAATCAAACAGCATGTTTTGCTTAACCTTTCAGCTGCGGAGACTCTAACCGTAACTCTCCGTTGACTGCGGAGCTGTTTAATAAAATGGACGGCTGATTGGGCCCAATCCGTTTAAATGCAAATATCTTGATTTTGGTATATCGAATAGTATAATATGTATACATTTCTGAATTCTCTATAAAATTTCCTATAAACGAGTACATATATTTAATAAAGTTTAAAGTAGTTAGTATAACTAAATATAGAATAAAGTCAAAACTATCATATTTCTCAATGACACAAAGTTTTTTAATAGTTCAATTTTATTTTATTTTAATCTTAGGTCTATTGTTTACAATATTTTATGTGCAAAATCATAGGCTACAATACAATTTTTTATCGTAAAACGCATTAATAATAAGCTTACAAGAACCCACAATCAATTTACGAGTACACCGATGTAGCATGTAGTTCGGACCACATGCGGCATAATGCGGCGTAATGCTTTAGTCAATAAAAATAGTTTTTTTTTTATTTCATTACAATGATTCAGTCTTAAATCTCTCTTTTTCTTTACATGATTCAGTCATCTTTCAATAGGTCTTGCTAAGTTTTTGAAATCCGATAAAGTATTTCATAAGTACTTTTGATGCCGATATCAAAATTTTAGTCGTAAGTGCCATATTTATTGAAAAATTAATTACTTTATTTGAGCAAACAAACTTTAACAGCACCTGTACAGAAATAAAGATTCATTCATTCCTTTAAAAACCATAAAAGCACTCAAGAGTCACTCCTGCTGATGTAGAGTTATAAATAACGTTTTTTGTAAACAATACCCAATGCACCATAATATGTGTCGAGTGACAGAGGCGCCGCGAGGTGCGCAGCGGTTATGTTACATTTCCAATAACCAATAACATTATTTCTCCAAACGGTAACATATTTCCTTTAACACAAACAATAGCTACGAAATAATAAAATTTAAAATAAATAGATCTCTTTCTGAAATAAAAAAAAATACTATTTATGTATATTTTCAAAGAACCCACTTCTTATGCATTATCCAAAAATATGCCACAATTAAAGTTCGATTCTGCACTGTTTTGTGCATCATGTACTAGTTCATTAAAACATTTTTTATATGTGGTAGAGCCATGCTGCAGTTATATTAGTAGTATAGTTGTAGCACGAATAGGCCGGCTCGACCGGGGAAGGACCACGCTCTCACAGAATACCAGCGTGAAATAATAGCTTAATGCTTCTGTGTTTCGTATGGTGAGTGTAGAGAATCGGAGAGCCTTTTTGCTGGAAACGAGGCGTTCCGTCTTAGTCCTCACGGGTGACAACGCATTTTTGCATTTTGATTTGTAATCGAGGATAGATGTAGATGTCTATAGGCCGCAGCAAGCACCACAGGTGGACTGCGTGCTCGTTTGTCACCCTATTCTATAGAAAAAAAAACATACAAAATAAAGAGGTGTATTCATTTCAACGATGAGAGCCGTGGTGGCTCAGAAGAGCCGTGGTAGCTCAGATGGTTAACTCTCGCTGTAAATTTCATAGTATGCTAGCAAGCAGGGTTCGATCCCCGCTAGCAATAATGAAATTGTTAATTGCAATTTTAAGTGCTGATCTACCACGTGCTCGGCGGTGAAGAAAGACATTGTGAGGAAACTTGCACGTCTGTGAAATAAGAAAAAAAATATTTCGAAGACATGTGAAGTTCGCCAATACGCATTGGGGCAGTGCGACGGAAAACTTATTTGCCTTTGCCCAGCTGTGGGGCGTAAAAAGGCTGTAACTTAACTAACTTAAGTATTCATTTCGACGATGAGCGAGCCCTGGTAGCTCAGATTGTTAGGTCTCGCGTTAAATTTCACAGTACGCTAGCACACCGGGTTCGATCCCCGCCGGCATCAATGAAATTATTAATTGCAATTTTAAGTGCTGATTTACCTTTGCTCGGCGGTGAAGAAAAACATCATGACGAAGTCTGACTGTCTGATAAATAAAAAAAATATTTCCAAGGCATGTGCAGATCGCCAACACGCATATGGGCAGCGCGGTGGATACTTCTTTGCCGTAAAACCCTTTCAGAAGTGAGGGAAGGCCCAGCAGTGGGACGGAAATAGGCTGTGTAACTTAACTAACTTAACAATTTCGACGATGATAGTCTGAAATAATTAGCTGAACAAGTTATAGCTAGGCAACAATAAAAACTAAATGGATGGATATACATAAGTATAAAATTGAATAAATATATAACATAGGTACTTATTTCTTTAAAAGGCTCCTGGTACTTGTTGGATTTACTGTATCTACAGTACAATTCATTTACGAATGGTACTGTAGGTAGCAGCAATCTTGCTATAGGTTGAAATATAACGCAACGTTACACGATTTGCAAAGTACATACAGATAAAATGTACATTAAAAAAACCAGCATAAGAAATATGTGTCTGAGGTGACCTTAAAAACTACAACCTGTTCATATTAAATTAAAAAAATAAAAATTTCAAATATTAAATATTAAAAAATATTAAAAAGCATATTATGTAAATTCAATCACATTAATGGCTGATTCAAGGAATGGACGACATTTAAGAATGATTTAAATAAAATATACTACTAAAGTGTATAAGCTGTGGGGTTTTTATGCTAGCCTTTTTTATCCTGTACACATTGACATATGGTAGAATGAGTTAGAAATAGCGCATAATGCTTTGTTTCTTCATTAAAAGAGCGGGTAAAAAATGTCTAACACTTGGACGCCCGCAGTCAACGGAGATATTTTCGTGTCCAAGTCTTGGACATCCGCAGTTGAGAGGTTATTTATGCATAGCATGCAAGTTCTTGTTTTTGTACATTAAGACTTTTGATTAATAAAGTCCATAATGCTATAGAAATTATTCTTAATGGTGGATTGAAAAGTACTCGGCCTAACCAAGAAAATAAACACATACTAAATCAGTTATATTTTTATTTTTCTACTAAATCACCATCAAAATCAATACACTTTTGCCACCTCCCCTTCCAAGCATTTAGACCGTTGAAAAAAAATGATTCTTCCTTAGAGTCAAAATATGCGTCTACAGCTGCTTTGACCTCGTCGTTTGTCGAAAATCTTTGACCTCCCAAGTGCTTTTTTAGGTTAGAGAACAGAAAGAAGTCTGATGGTGCCAGATCAGGTGAATACGGCGGATGCGGTAACAGTTCAAAGCCACAGTTGTGAATTTCAGCCATTGACTGTACTGACGTGTGAACACGGGCGTTATCTTGATGAAACAGGACTTTTCTTCTGAGCATTCCTCGACGTTTTTCTTTTATTTCCTCTCGTAAACGACGTAGTAAGGTGCAGTAGTAATCAGAGTTTATAGTCTGACCCCTTTCAAGATAATCAATCATAATCACACCTGTCGAGTCCCAGAATACTGAAGCCATCACCTTATTTGCCGACAAAATCGACTTAGCCTTTTTAGGGGGTGGTGAACCAGGTCTTCTCCACTGTTTTGATTGTTGTTTTGTTTCCGGTGTACAGTAATGAACCCATGTTTCGTCCATAGTAACAAAACGATTCAAAAAATCATCTGCATCGGCTTCAAATAACTCCAAACAGTCGCGTGAAATAGTCAATCGCGTCCTTTTTTGTTCAACTGAAAGCAGTCGCGGAACCCACCTCGCAGACACCTTGTGGAAACCCAACTCGTTGACAATGATGTTTTGAGTTCGTTCATAAGAGATGCCTATAATCTCGGCTATCTCTCTAATTTTTAATCTGCGGTCTCCCATTATTAAATCAAGTACTTTTTTAATATTTTCGTCAGTAGTTGACGTCGAAGGCCTTCCAGAGCGGGGTTCATCTTTCACACTCTCTCTACCACGCTTAAATTCTGCTATCCATTTTTTGACGGATGAATATGACAGAGCACAATCGCCTAATGTACTGACCATGTCATCATGGATGGCTTTTGATGATAGCCCCTTCTTATGGAGGTACTTAATGACGGCACGCTGCTCGATTTGCTCCATTCGCGGAAATTATGTCCGATTACTTTGTTAATAAATTTATAAAATCACAACTAATTATCGCACACGTTTCGAACTTCACACAATGAACTAGTCTGAACTGAACTAAATAATGTGGGTAGATTTGATTTTTAGAATTGAATGGATCTGTGTTAGGCCGAGTACTTTTCAATCCACCTAGTAGATATTCCTGTAATTTTGATTTAAATAATCTAGTATTTAACATTTTAAGATTATTTAGTAGCTTGTTATATAAATGTATACAAATGGATAAAAACAGCTTTTATTACATTTACTAATTCTAGGATTATCACTTAAAATTAGCTTGTAGGGATATCAACTGATCTGAGAATTTACATCCTCTACATTCTCTTCATCTTCCATACAAACATACATATTTCGTAAATATAATAACATAAATTATAATATATACATAATTTGATTGCTATCTATTTAGCTGTCCATATAAAAAATCTGGTTTCCATTACAGCCTGGGTATGTTCCGACATGTTTCCAGTATACTGACGAATACAAAAGACATCATTAATTGACACCATATTGTACTGCCACGACCATATTGTGCGGATATCGTGACATAATAAAACAATTTTAATTGTGTGTATGCTAAATGAAGCATGCCAGAATTTGTTTTTATTTATTCAAATACAAAAAATTATATTATAACTTCTGGTATCTCCGTTCTTCACATATTAATTGAAACAGGATACAGTGGCATAACTACCTTGGGTGGCACCCGGTGCAGAAGTTGATGGTGTCACCCCATCGAAAGTAAAAAGCAACAAATGTTGCAACTGAGACGTCAAAGATCGCAAGTATGGGATGGGGAATCCCCCACGACAGCGTCAAGCTCTTTTGCAGGAATCAGAGCATAGAGCTGAGCTAGTGCTAGTGGAGGTTCCCCGAAAAAGAAATTTTTGTGCTAGCGATTTTTTTTGTACATTGTTCTTAAAGTTGAGACCAGGTGGGTGTCACCCCAAAAAAGGTGTCACCCGGTGCGACCCACCCCTGCCGCCGCCCCCTTTTTGCTACGCCACTGACAGGATAGCACAAAATGACAAAATAATCACTAACACTTTTCCAATATGGCGCAAATGTATGACATCATATACCGTCCTATGTTTTGGAACAAATCACCAGTATGGCATCGATTCATGACATCACTTGCATTGAACAGTACACTGGGTTCTATTTTAGAACATACTCCCTAATTAAAGTCCACTGCTGAATATAAGCCTCTCTTTATAGATTGCCTCATGGGAGGAAATTTGCCATAGTTGCCACACTTTGCAAGCAGGTTTGCAACTGCAGTTTTTATTCATAGTTGTTATAAGGAAAATGCTGCTAGATAGGGTAATGCTTATTCTTACACAGCTACTACAAGGTACTTATATAAAAAAAATAGATTTGAGATTGAAACACTTACCGTGTTCTGCTTGCATATGCAAGTGTTCTAAGCATAATTCCGATACTTCAATATTAGTTGTATCCTTTAAAATATTAAGCACTGTTTTATTAACGTCAGAATCAAATAGAAACTCAGGTGCATTGTCATTTATTACACTTAAAATGAGCAAAGCAGTTACAACGGAGTCATCGTTCATATCATCTTTTTCCATTTCAGATAGTAATATTTTGTTTTGCTTGTCTATTACACCTTCTTCAACAATTGACTCTGAGAACTGATGTCCACCTATGGCATAGTTTAATAATGTTTTACTAGCGAGAAGTCTAATTTCTTCTAATGTGTCATTTTTTAAAGCACTTTCAAGTACGTTTGCTAGTACTAAAACACCATTGTTTTCCAAAATAATTATTCTAGATGCATCACAATCGCAGCATAAATTCCCAAGAGCTCTGCAACACTGCTTGACAAGTTCAATGGAATCTGAATTTATTTCCTTACTTAAAATGTTCATTATTGGTAGGATTATATCTTTAGTGGCGTAAATTTCTCTTTTAATTTCACATTTTGCTAGCTCTGAGATAGCTTGCACGCACAGCAATACAATGGTCTGATCGTTGTTATTTATTAGAGATTTTAGACAGGATGAAACATCATATTCGTAATTCTTTCCGACAGATATTATTTCATATAATTTATCTTTTAATTCATTAACATTAGTAATATTCTGAATTACTAAGGTCTCAAAAGAGGCAGATTTCTTGGCCGATGTCCCTGTAAGATATAAAAAGCGTAAATAACAATAAATTTAATTAAATAAATAATAAATAATCAACACATACCATCCATATTTTTATGAAAAAGGGCAATGAGAAAAGTATTATAGAAAAGAGCTATGCATTAATGTTTTAAAAATAATAGTAGATAGTAGTAGATTTAAAGAATTTCCCTACAGAAGGAAAAAATTACGATTATCATTTATCATTAGGTATCAATCACAGATCCACACTCCACAAACGTAGATTACTGTATATCAAAGCTGTATATTAGGAGTGGTCGTTACGAAACGTAACTAGTTACTGAAACTATCTATTCACACAATAGCGAGTAGCGGGTTATTGCAGTGCAACGAAACTATCTATTACAGTAGACGTTTTACTCAGTAACACGATTCACGTTTCACGAATCACGAACGAGCGATCACTAACAAAACGTTTATTCGGCTATTTTCGCGACGCGTCGGCGACGTCTTCGGCTGTTGAAGTAGAAGCACATGAGTAAAAAAACCGACTTTTTTACGCTGTGGTAGAAGTACCACCGGTTGTCGAAAGTCGAGTGAGCGCGTGTGCTTTTGCATTTGACCTATGACTCTATTTCCTTCGTATAGATGCGATATTAGAAATGAGAAAGTAAGTGTACATGTTTTTAACAAAAAATAGTTCAAATACCATAATTTAAGTGGCCTTGGCCCGGTTTACATTAGTCTTTTGTTTAAGTTTAATGACACGGTTTGTTTTTACTTTTTAGGCGCGTTTGTTTCCTTTTTTGTGCAACAATAATAATATTTTTAGTAAAATAAAAACTAAATATCATTGTATATATTAGTGTTGATAATAATAATTCTACAGTAATTAGTGTAAATAACTAAGTGTAAAAATAATACTAAAACTTTATGTGATTGTTATCAAAAATGTCTCGAAGTAATGCCAGTGTACTTCGAAGTGATATTTTTATCAAACCGTGCGAACTGATTTAACAAATAAATAAATTTAACCATTAACACCATGTCTAATTCTATACGAAACGGTAACAACGGTCGCAACGTTTTGCAATTGAACACGTCGTGAAACACTCTATTGAAGCCGCTATTAAAATAGAATGTTTCCAAACCCTCTATTAAAATAGAGTGTTTCAAAAGCCGCTATTGATATTCGATAGATAGATTCGTTTCGTTACTCAAAGAAGCCGCTACTACCCACCGCTACTGTATATATTACTCTACTCTATGAATATAGTACTCTCTAGCCGAGAGTTGTATACCTGTATAACATAGGGTGCGTTTGTCAGAAAAAAGTGCTAGCAAGCGCTTACAAGCGCTGAAATAGTTTTCGGCCAGGACACGATTGCTACTTCAGTAGCGCTGACACAATCCACCATTTTTCTTATTTAATTTGTTTGTTTTGAAGTAGAGTTTATAAGTTTTTTTTGTGCATTAGTTTTAAATAATATAATGACATGAATAGACATATACATGTTATTAAAAATTCATGATTGGTAAGTTTTTAACATGAATACTTTACAAACATATATTTAAATTAGGTTAGGTTCCCCGGTTAAAACTAACTTCCTGTCCTAAACTCTGATTTTTCATTCCGTAGAATTCTGACATTTCGTAAGTGTTGCTACTAAAAAAAGTTCTCCACCGAAAAAGAGACAAATTTGAACCATTTGAGGGCAATAAATAATAAAATGCTACGTATTTTTTATGTTTCACCTACAAAAAGGTAAATCTAAATATTTACTTATACAAGTCACCTAATACAAAAATAACAAATATTTCAATATCACGAACAATATATCTAATTAACTTTAATTACTTAATATTTTATTCTTTAGCTGGCATCACTGTCTACTAATTCCAGGTTTAAAAAACCTTTTAAAAAAATGTTAGCTGTCACGTCGCGTCTGTCACATTGATTGATTTTCATTCGACTTCTTTGAATGCTCGAATGCGCATGTGTTCTCGGTGTTTGCTGCTATTTGTTGTTATTATCTTGTTATATTTGTTAAGTTTCTGTTATTCTGTTAAGTTTTTTCTTGTTGACCTTTCGTTTTGTGATCGTTTGTTGATTTTTATAAACGTTATGGAGCCACAACCTGGCCCTTCCCGGGAAGCAGCCCCATCTGACAGAGCACAAGGCTTAGACTTTCTTTCTCCCAGAAAGAAGCGTCCTCGTGGTGCTTTTACGCCCAACGAAAAGACCATAATTCTAAATATTTACAAATATAATATAGAAAATTGGCCGCAAACAACTGATTGGAGTGCAACGGAATGTGCTAAAAAGACTTCTGAGATGACTGGCGTGGGTCTGTCAAGTGTCTATAAAATTACCAAAGAATATAAAGACACAAAAGAATTTCAAAAGCCGAAAAAGAGTGGACCTCAACTATCTTTCATACAAAAATTTGACGAATTCACTTTCGCCGCAACTCGACGAAAGGTTCACGCGTTTTTCTACAGGAACGAGATTCCGACTATTGAAAAGGTAAAGTTATTGCTAATTCTTTAACACCTCGTTGCTGACATCCCCCATTGTTTTAAAACTATACTTTAACCTGTGTTGCCTGTCTACATTTTAACTGTAATGTAAATGCTTATTTCAGATTCACCAAGAGATAACTGGTGATCCAGACATGCCTGTTATGTCGAAATCAACATTAAGAAAAGTATTGAAGCATTTAAATTTTAAATACACAAGTCGCAAACGTCGAAGTGCGCTAACAGATCGCAAGGAGATAGTACTATGGCGTCAAAAATACTTGCACCAAATTAAACAATATAGAAGAGAAGGCAGGCTTATATATTACCAGGATGAAACGTGGGTAAACGAAGGCAAGTATTGAATTATGTGGTAATTAACTTTTTATAACCTATCTTTTCTTCAAAGTATTAGTCGGAAATCGAATTCTGTACTTATGTAATACTTAAATTAACTTTGTTAATAAATTTTTGTTACCAAAATGAATAAATAAATAAAGAAATCCATGTTTACAGGTAATATTTTTCAATTTATATGCATATATAACTGTCCTCATGTATAAGTGAAATATTAAATATATTTTTATTTTCAGGACATACCGTCAATAAAGTGTGGTGTGATACCAACATTCAATCTTCACGACAAGCTTTCCTCGATGGCTTGACAACAGGGCTTAAGGCACCAACAGGCAAAGGGGGGGCGACTTATAGTTAGCCATATAGGGAGCGAAGAAGGATTTTTGGAAGATGGTTTATTAGTTTTTGAGGCAAAAAAAGGCTTGGCAGATTACCACAAGGAGATGACTGGGGAAGTATTTGAGGAGTGGTTCACAAAAATACTTCCAAAATTAAAACCAAACTCGGTAGTAGTGTTGGATAATGCTCCCTATCATTCGAGGAAGGTCGAAAAAGTACCAACGAGTGCATGGAGAAAAGGCGATATCCAAGCGTGGTTGACTTCAAAAAATTTAAATTTTGAAGAAAAAATGCTAAAAGTTAATTTATTGGAAATTGTGGGTCAGGAGAAATACAAATATCAACAGTGTATTGTAGACGAGATGGCCACAGCACAAGGCATTACTGTGCTTAGACTGCCCCCATATCATTGTGAGCTCAACCCTATTGAATTGGTGTGGGCTCAAGTGAAGGGGCATGTCGCAAGACACAACAGAAGTTTTAAAATGGCGGAAGTTAAAAAACTATTACTGGAAAGTATAAGTAGTATTACTCCTGATAAATGGCAAGAATGTATCAGCCATACAATCAAAGAAGAAGATAAGATGTGCACTCTCGACGATTTCATTGACACAGTCGCAGACTCTTTAATAATTCATGTCAGCGATGATGACGATGATGAAGATAGTGATATAAGTATTAATGATGACTAAAGATTTTAATAAAAATATGTTATTTTTACTTGTGCATTTTTTACTGTTTGTAATGAAAAGGGACGTAATTATCACTCGCCGTAAAACCATGTAGAGTACCGCACTTAATAAAATGGATACATTTACTAACAAATAAAATGTATGTATAGACTCAGATGTTCAGACACGTATTGAAATTGAAAAATGTGCCCGGCCAAAAAGGTTTGTAATCTCTGACATGTCAAAAAATGATAGCTGTCAGAATTCTACGGAATGAAAAATCAGAGTTTAGAATAAAATAGCTACTTACGATTTGACAGCGCTTACCGCTTACGATCGCCATTTTGCTTACAAGCGCTTGCTAGCACTTTTTTCTGCCAAACGCACCCATAGATTACTGACTATGTTGCTGTATAATTTTGAGTTGACACATTGACAGTTGATACATGTCACATGCCCATAATAAGTGAAGTGCGGTGTACCGTGTATGGCGTACGTAAACATACTGGTCATATGCTGGTCTGGTACTGGTACTTCTATATCAATACTAACTATGTCGCACCCACCTGTTTGATAGGATTGAGTATTTACTACACCGATTTTAATTTTGTGAGTAAAAGTAGAAAAATACTTGTGAAACTCTATTGTACGTGATAAAACGCAAGGCGTGTTTAGTGAAACCTATAATACCATAATTAGCGGTGGACATTGTCGTTTACAAACAGCTTATATATCGGAAGCCAAAGACAAACAAACTATTAAAATAAATCAACTTTACTTATTTCTTATATTTAAGCACTACACATGAAATGAAACTACCTAGTTTTTCGAATTTTTTCGAGTTTAATTAACTTTTTAATCAATGTATAGTGTTCGCGTAAATATAAGAAATCATTATTTAATTAACTTATTTTATATCCCGGTCGTTTCGAGTACTACGCAGTTCCCATGTTCACCGTTAACATGAGTTTGTAAAGTATTTTTTTCATTAAAACACCTCTGATTTTTTTTAATAAAGTGTTGAAACAAAAAATAGCTTTTTGAACCAGTGATCTATATCTTCTCTTATATATAAAAGTCAATTGCTGCCCATTAGTTTCGCTAAAACTCGAAAACGGCTCGAACGATTTTGAAGTTTTTTGTGCGTTAAATACAGCAAAGCTGAGTGGGTGCCTGAATGGTTTAAAACTCAATAAGACCCGGTAGGTGGCGCTATTATCGATATCCAGAAATCACCCGTGCGAAGCTGGGGCGGATCGCTAGTCTCGAATAAAAATGCTCAAACTACAACTTTAATACTAAGTGATACTCAGATATTCACATTCGTAGCCACTTATACTTGACATATTCGAAGTATGCATAGATACTATTACCTAAAGTCAAACAAATCTAAGAAATACATAGAGGTTAGAGAACAGGAAAACGATCGCTATATGCTAAAGCATAGCCCGCCTGTCTCTGAAAATTTGTAGAATTTATAGCTGTGCTGCCGTCGGTAAGTAGTATTTGCGAAGTAATTTTTTTATTATTAACAAAAAGAAACATTAAAAAATGGTGAAATAATATTAAAAAATAATTAATATTTGTAATAATTTAAAATATTTATAATGATTAAAATTATAAAAAAACATAATTTATATATTAATAAATAATAATAATTCGTTATTTTCCTTTTTTTTTCTTTGAATGATTTCATAATCATTTCGAACTAGCGCACAACAGCCCGCTTTTTGAAACAACTTAGCGATCGCTGAGTCTCACTTATTTTGTCCATATTTCTGGGACACTATTTTCTACAGCGATCGTTCTCCTGTTCTCTAACCTCCATGAACGTTAGAGAACAGAAGAACGATCACTACATACTAAAGCATAGCCCGCCTGTCCTTAAAAATTTGTAGAATTTATAGCGATGCTGCTGTCGGTGAGTAAGGGCTGCGAAGTTAGCTGTTTATGAGTACAAGTAGATGAAGTTATGCAAAAGGAACTGATTATTTCCTGAGGTCTTAAGACGTCAGGACATAATCAGTTCATTTTGCATAGATCGGACCATAAACAATAATTAAAAAATAGATGAAGTTAGTTGAATAATGTACAAATTTTCTTCGCGGCATTGGTGAGAAAATTTTCATGCTCCGTAATTTTTTAATTTTTGACAAAAAGAAACATTAAAAATGGAGAAATATTTTATTGTGCGTGGATGTGCAATTGGTTTAGCATCTAATTGGAAAAATACTGAAAATGACTTTTATTGAGCGAACTTAGCGATCGCAGCACCTCAATAATGGTGTACATATTTCTGGGAAACTATTTTCTACGGCGATCGTTCTCCTGTTCTCTAACCTCCATGAATAAATACATTTTGACAGCTGTCAAACTTATTGCACCAAGCATGCCAACCAAAAAAACGTACAATATTCGATTCTTAAAAAAAATCAACATCGATTATTTAGAGTTGGTAATCGTTTACAATTTTGTTTGAATAATACCAGAATATAATAAAAACGGATAACTTAAAACCACTGACCTCTATATATACACTTGTATATAAAGGTCAGTGCTTAAAACACACGTTTTATCGGTTTCTTCGTATTTGTTGTTACTGCTTATTCCTAGAAGCAGTTATAAAAATTTAATATTGAAAACTAGATTAAAAATAAATTTATTCAATCACTTTCAGTACCACGAGTGGAGCTGTCGTTGTTTAGATTAATTATTATTTGATTTTCAATAATGCAGTTAAAATTAATGACTCTTTCAAAGACATCCATAACCAATTTTTTGTTTTTTTTTTTCTACATTTTTGCTCAAACATCCCTTGTGAAATGGGCACATGCTTCAACGAATATAGAAGAAACAGTCCAAAAAGTTAAAGCCGAGTCACGAAATAAGAAGAGAAACACAAAATCACAAAATTACGCACAGTAAGCTCCTGAAAGGGCGGAAGATTGAAATTACCTATAGTCAACCAAATCTAAGAAATACCTTTTGACGTTTCACATTAATCATTCCGCAATAACTTTGCACCAGCGTATTCACACGATTTAAAATAACCATAAATTTACGTAAAAGTAAATCCGAAGAATTATGAAGTTATCTACATTACATTACAACGTGTATAGTTTTTTTATCACTAATTTAAATTTGAATTTTTCAAGCAAAGCAACAAGATGCAGGAAAAATATCATTGTGATCGATGATTTTGATAAAGCGGTAATTCGGAGAATACTTCATAACTTTTATATCACCGACAAACAGGTTCCCACTATGAAAATATTACACGAAAAGTTAAAGGCAGAAATAAATTATCCAGGTGCAATTACGTCATTAAGAAAAGAAGTATCTCTATTAGGATTCAAGTGGAAAAGGACAGAAGATAATCGCAGAATCCTTATGGAGAAACATGAAATACGATATCTTCGAATAATGTTTCTCATTAAAATTGCCGAATATCGCGCTCAGGGCCGCGCAATCGTTTATACTGACGAAACATATATAGACACGTCTGACACTTCGTCGAAATCTTATTCAGATAGAAGCGCCTCTGGTTTAAAGAAACCAGTTTCTAAGGGAAATCGGTTAATAATAGTTAATGCCGGCGGAGAGTGCGGTTTCATACCCAATGCCCTACTCATGTTCAAGGCAAACCAAAAAAGTGGAAGACAACTGAATGAAAGACTATCATTATAATATCAACACCGAGAATTACACAAAATGGTTGCAAACGCAGCTAATTCCAAATTTAAAACCGAATAGTGTTGTGGTGGTTGACAATGCATCATACCACAATTCGTATCAAAATCCCGCGCCACGTGTCAATGAATATGGACACTATAATGAGATTAACAAAGGAAAAAGTTGACGCGATCACTGTACAAGAATGGAAAAATGTTTGTGACCATGCAGTTAAAGAAGAAAAAGCATTTGATGGTCGAGACGCCACTATCGACGGTTTATCGGAGCGATTCATTATTAACACAGGCTCTGATGAGTCATCAGACGAGAGTGAAGATGAAGATGCAATGAGCGGAGAAGAAGAGTTATAATATTGTTATGTAGTTTATTACTATAATTTAGGATAATCAAAATATCAGCATTAACTTTTAATAAAACATTGATTTTTTACTAACTGTACTTTTGGCAATCACTCACACAAATGCAAAGCTCAGCTTACGCCGCGAGGACTGTATGTTTATTAATAATACCATTACCTCAAGATAATTTTTAAGTTCGTGCATTTGAGCTGAGGAAGTTTATTATTACGGGCCCCAGTCTTCAGTATCAATTAACACCGGAAAACGATATTGAAATATTAAAATATTGTTACATAAATTCGATATCCCCTCTTCTCTTTTAGTTCCCGGAACGAATTTTTACAATACATAAATAAACAAGACGGCAGAATTAAATAAAACAGGTCACGTATTAACCGCGTATTAACGTAGACCAACAGGGGCACCGGAGGGGAGTAGCGCTGGCGTTTCCTTTGGTCCCTTGGCATAGAATAGAAATAATAGCACCACGTTCCCTTGGTACAAGTCCACGCAGTCTTGTGCGTTCTTTTGTGCGTAACTATTTGCAGCCGCACTGCTTACTAGGCTATATCTAGTTGCGCATGTAGTGTGGTACCTATATGTTGTAAGGTACATGAGAGTAAAATGGTCACCTTAAGCGTTGCCGTCCTATAAAACAAAAACTAGGGGGGAGATGGATACAAAAAAAACACAAAATCGTATACATTATCTAATATATCAATAAAAAAAATAGCAACCAAGCTTTGGCAATAATGAAAAACTATTCGAAAAACCAACTTAATAAAAACTAACTACATTATGCCATACTAAAATCGACTAAAATATTAACTGTAATATCAACTGTTAAAATGGCTTCGATGAAGCAGCGTCCTTTTGACCCTTTATTATTTGGTAGATTGATGAAGAGTAATCGAATCATATAGCCTTCTATGCAAATAAGGCTGTAGTTTTTGATTTATAAGAAAGTGACCATATTACCCGCCGGATGGCTATATTACCCTCACGTACCATAGTCTTAATTATAAAATAATATGTAATTAGCATTAAGTCAATTGTAATAAACCAGTTGTGAATCATACATGTAGGTATCCACATTTATTCTCCCCGCAACCCGCACACTTCATGTTGACTCTGCCTTGCGCAAGTGCCGCGACCGTGCTTTGCCGGGTATCAAGTAACGGGCGAATCTTGCGGATTCAACGGATTCCCGTGTTCCTCTGTGCTCGAAGTAGGACTGTTTATATATATATATATATATATATATATATATATATATATATATATATATATACACAAGTATTGAAATGAAACACTACCATGAATTCGCATAGCGTTTGGATAACGTCAATGTGTATAGTGCGACAACTTTAAAATGGGGAAGCCATATTCCAAAACCGAGGACAAGGAGGTAATTATTACGCAAAATGCTTCGGGAAGAAATAACTCTACAAGTGTATCTCATATTCAGCATTACAACATATTACTTACGTCAGCCTTGATGGTTTTTATCCTTGGTGTCATTGTTATACTCACAGAAATCGTAATAATAAGATATTATTACTATTTCTGTGGTTGTACAGTTGTACTGATGTAGATAAAGTATAGACAGAAAAAGTGAATACAAAAGCATGTATAGTCGGAATTTATTTGAAGAACGCGGTTGTATTTTTCGGGAAGGGGAGATCGTGAAGAAGAAAATGAAAGTGTGTAAGCCCTGTTCAGTGCGTCGTTCTTGTTTAAGGATGACCTACGCTGGAGCGAGTCCGGTCCGAGCCGAGTGTCGGCCGTAGCACGGTCACCGAGCCGGTCCCGTGCCTCTAATTACAAACCGGGGGCGTCGGGCCTCGACCGAGCGCCGTGACGCAGTTTACTCGTCCGAGCAAAGATAGTTGTGTAACTAGACTACAATCAAGTTGAAATTTTACGATCTGGAATCAGCGGCTATTGCGATCGCTCTGGCCGGTAAAGAATCTGATAAATCTTCAACTACAAGCCGGGACCGAGTGACCGAGTTATTCAGAGCTTATAAAAGCAGTGCATGCAACTGAGGAAGAGCAGCTTGCACAACCCTCAATGTCTTACAATATCTTCAGAGTAAGAGGTAGTTCAAACAATAGATTTTATAACAATGTTGAAAGAAGAAGCCGGAACAATCATTGAAATCGAGGTTCTTATTGCCGTGAAAATTATGATGCAGGTCAGAAGTTTAACTTTCAGCAGCAACGTTTCAATGGTGATCGCTGTGGTCGATACACACGAGGAAGAGGCAATAGTTTTTGTAACTTTAGAAACAATTATTATAATCCTTCTAAATTTTACCCGAGCACCTCTATTCGTGGTAACCTCAATTGTGCAATGACTCCCAATCAGGAAACGAATAAACAGAAAACGAAAAAACATTAAATAAACATCACTTTTTTTGTTAAACGTTATAATATTTTGACGTGTAATAAAAATGTTAGGTGCGTTCATTTTAATAATAACAATGCGACGCGTTCCTCACCGCTGTTATTAAGGTGTTATCGCAACAAGTTATATTATTGTGCAAAAATAATATTGTTATAAATAAAAAAATATTCAGGAGGTTATGTTTATCTTACACAATCAAATCGTACGTAATCAAAATGGTGGCTATTTTAACTACATTTTTTATGGAATAGGGGCCAGCAATCATGCGAATCACCTTATGGTAAGTAACTACCGCTGCCCATGAACAACTGCATCAGCAGGGGAATTGCATATGCGTTGCCGACCTGTTAGAAAGGAGTAAGCTCTTTTCTTGAAGGTCCCTTGGTCGTATCGGTTCGGTAAAAACGCCGGTGGTGAAGGATCCCACAGAGGGGTAGTACACGGAAAATAAATTTATTCTTGGATTAGATTTCTAATCGAATTTTAAGTCACATATTTATTTGGAAAGCAGTACATTACATCTGAATCTGCGTAATAGATGTGAGTATAGTATATCGTTTCATTAGTCACCAACTATTTCAAATAATTATTTAACTATTCTTGCGAGGAGTGAATCCATTTAATAATACTTTTGCACAATTAATGCCTGGTACATGGCCACACTAGTTACCATTAGTTTTCTAGTATCGAGTAGCCGAACTAGAAGAGTCAAGACCCGTCTAGAAATTTATATGGAAGAACTTTCTAAAACTATCGACACCTAGTCAGTCAGGACCGGTATGTACTCTCACACACTCGAGATTAGAATGGCTCTCCAGCAGCTTATAAACGGCAAGTCCCCGGGCGAGGATAAAATAACAGCGGAGTTTTTGAAAGCGGGTAGAAAACCAATACTTCATTTCCTTCAGAAGCTCTTTAATTCGTTCATCCATAGTGGCACTACTCAGGAGACGTGGAACAAAAGTGCGGTGATTTTGTTCTTCAAGGAAGGCGACAACGCTCTCTTGAAGAACACAGACAATTACAGACTAATTTCCCTTCTGAGCCGCGTCTACGTGTTGTTTTCGAGAGTCATTAGCAATTGTCTCGCACGCAGATTCGACGCCTTCCAGCCTCCCGAAGAAGCCGGTTTCAGAAAACTTTAGTACTATAGACCACATACTTGCTCTTCGGCAAATTGTACAGAAGTCTGAAGAGTACAGTCTGCCACTGTGTCTTGCATATGTGGACTATGAGAAAGCGTTTGATTCCGAAATTTGGATGGTGCTGCAATCCCTACAGCGGTGCCAAGTGGACTGTCGGTATATCAAAGTGCTGAATTGTTTGTGCAGTAGGGCTACGATGGCTATCCGAGTGCAGAACCAGAGTGCGAATTCTACCCAACTGCAGAGAGTTGTAAAACAAGGTGACGCAATATCCCCGAAACTCTTCACCATTGCATAAGAAGACGTTTTCAAGCTACTGGACTGGAGAGGATACGGTATTAAAGTCAACGGCGAATACAGCACTCACCTTCGATTTGCCAACGATATAGTCCTTATGGCAGAATCGCTAGAGGACCTAAGCACTATGCTTTCACAATAGAGTCTCCCAACGGATAGGTCTTATGATGAACATGGACAAAATGAAAGTCATATGTAAATTTCACTGTTACACCTATGCCGGTGGTTGTTGGGAGCACTAAGCTTAAAGTTGTTGACGAGTATGTTTACCTGGGGCAAGTAGTCCGACTAGGTAAGTCCAACTTCGACCGAGAGGTCAATCGACGGATTCAACTCGTCAGGCATACCTCAAAATCTCAAAACTAGATTGTACAATCAGTTCGTGTTGCCAGTGATGATCTATGGATATGAGACGTGTTCTTTCACTGCAGGCCGTATGACGAAGCTCAAAATCGCTTGGCGAGCTATGGAGATGGCTATGCTCGGAGTTTCTCTGCGTGATAGACTTAGGAATGAGGATATCCGTAGTAGAACCAAAGTAAACGACATAGTCCTACAGATTAGTAAACTGAAGTGGCCACGGGCTGGCCACATAGTTCGAAGAACCGATAACCAATGGGAAAAAAGGTTCTCGAGTGACAGCCTCGAGGAGGCCTATGTTCAGCAGTAGACTTGTAAAGGGCTGTAATGATGATGATTATGAGTGATAGCCTCGTGCCGGCAGGCGAAGTGTAGGGCGTCCCCCCTCTAGATGGATTGACGACCTAGTAAAACATGCAGTAAGTCGAAGGATGCAGGTGGCTCA